TAATAAATAAAACATTGTAAAATTAAAATGCCAGCCATAAAATAACAATTAACAACATTTAATAAAAAATAAGAAGATTAAATAAATGCTACATAAAAAGCCTGGCCGAAAATGCCAGGAGAAGAAAACACTGCACATGAACTACGCTGGAGGAAAACCAGTCACTGTACTGCAGGGAGAGAAAAAATGTTCTGCTTGGGTTGTCATAACTAATAGAGGAACTCGCCAAATGGGAGAGCGGGTTCCCAGAAAATGTTCGCTAATCGCTACACTGGCGCAGGTCGCTGCAAGAGTTTACATGCAGCCCGGAAGTCTTACGGCCAATTTTAATTAATTGCACCATCTATGATTAACTTTATACGGTTAACCATCTGTATAATAATTTTCCATTAATAATTCATTAACTAATGGACGAATAGATCTGCTTTATATCGCATTTATTATTATTTAAACTGAAAAGTTAGAAGATGATGAAAGTGCTTATTACCGTAATGTACTCGAAAACAAAAATAATTTTTGAAATCTACAAATGGACTGAAAATATTTATAATGCTAAACTAACTTTCTGCTGGTTCTAGAATTGTATTGAAATAAATATGTCAGAAAATTGTATTGAATTTTTTAAATCTTGAGTGACATTTTTCTTTAATTCTGATTAGGTGAAGGCCTTTTATTTTACATATTCTAAAATATACTGTCGATGACAATAATCAATTTGTGAAGACTAAATTGCGAAGCAAAATGTAACATTTCTTCCTCCATCCCCTTAACAGCTGAGTTCGTAAGAGAAAACGTCTCTTAGTGCTATATGTTAATGATCCTTTCGTGCTCTGTACTAGATAAGAATTTGGTAAATAGTTTTAAGATTATTTCACGATATGTATGGTAATTTTTCGAAGATATGAAGTTCATGTTTTATTAAGAACTGACTACTTCAACAGAATCCTGCGTTGCGAATAAAAAAAGTAATAATAATCATTTAAAAAAAATTCGCAAAATAGCCACCTTTATTATATAGTCATATATATGCTCTGACTTTCGCCTTTGGTACTAAATTTTTAAAAAAATTTCGATGAAAATTTCTGAATTTATATATTTGTTTTAAAATGCATGTTTTAATCTATATGTTTAATGTAAATATGTTTAAAATAAATCATATTTAAAGCCTACATGTTTAAAACAAATCATGCACTACAACAAATTTACAAAAAATAAGCAAATTGTCCACCCTGGTGTTAATAGTATTAAGGGGATATGAATACTTTAGGACATATTTGAGTATTTTTAAAAAAACATCACACCTTTATTTTAATGGGAAAGTACTTTTTTAAAATAGGAAGATCATATTTTAATATTAAACCGGTTTCAATTTAATCCCACGTTTCAAAAAGTTTAAAAAACATGCAAAATGCCAACGCTTACTTTAATGCTACACTGTGTACTGTTAATATTACGTTACAAACCCTTGTTAATGCTAATGGCTCGACTTTTGTTTGCTTTGGACATAAGATAATATTAAAAATTTTCAATACCATTTCCAAACTTGTATGAATATTTTCAGAGACTATGAGGGTCATATTTTAATCAGATATTAGTTTTATATGTGACATGTTGTGCAAAAAAATACGAAGTATCTACTTTAATTTTCGCTCGAAATATGCTCGAGATTTTACGCCTCCTCAACTAAAATTCTTTTTTTTTTTTTCAAATTTACTCTGCACGATTTAGACATCAAGTATTTGAAACTAAATAAGACTATTTTCCTTAATGTTTATTTATAATTTTGAAATATATGACTACTTTCAAAAACTTGACGTGGTGTGATTCGAACCCGCTACCATTTACACTTCACGTTTTCGCGTCTGTGGAAGGATGGTTATACATAGTATAGTTCAAATCTGGAGCAGAATTCATGATCACAATACTTGAATACACTATTTGGGGAGAACACAGACTCAATCTCCAAAGGAGCATCCCGCTTCTTAAATGTATGGGAAAGAAGCGCGATGTTATCCCCTTCCCTAATACTTTCCGTATTTAAAAGATAGTGAAAGTAATTTTTAAAATAACCACAATGTGTGATAACTTTGAGCATAATGTTGAATGCAGTTTTGAGATACATATAGTTCGAAATTTAAGTTATTTGAATTGGTTAGAAAATCAAGAAAGAAGTCAATAATAATGAAACTAATAGTGAAATCCTCAGAAATGTTGCCATTGAAAAAGAGTGCTGCTATGCGCCACCTATAGCTCATATTACACCTGGCGCATCATTTAAAATGGCTCCTTACGAGGTAACTCTTTTAAAAACGTACATAAATTCACCATATTATTTTAAATACCTTCATTACCTCACTGAATGTCAATATATGATTAAACACAGAATGTTGCATAATTAGTGAAATTTTAAATTCCATTTTCAACCACCTCACGATCCTCTTTCCAGAAATGGATGTGCTGTCCTCATGCGTCAAAAAACTCAACTATCAAAATCCTCTTTTTTTCGCATAAGATGTATTCAACCAGATTCTCTAGAGTAGTGATGTGATTCAGATAAGATTACGAGCGTCACTAATTTTTTTGTTGTTGTTGAATGGGTGTTTCCTAAGTTAAGCGTGAGTAGTGATGAACATGGAATGTAGTAAATAGTTACAGAATTTACCAAGAGAAATTACTTCTTGTAGTTAGATTCTAATATTTCTCCATTGAAAATCTTTCTCACCCTATGAAGTCTCTCTCGTAAATTTAAATAATTGTAAAATAAATGGATTTAACCTATTAGGGTAAGTCATTTATGCATATTAAATAATAATTATTTAATATATATATTTTTGCATTAGAAATATTACAGAAATACTTGTTTGCATCCTATAATAATTTACAATTCTTTGATTCTGTGTTATAAAGTTTATATAGTACAGATCTATTGTGTGTTATGCGTCATACATTTTGACAGCTGATCTATCAAAACATCCCGATTTATCCTCCCGTGACACTATTTTGAAAATCATTTTAATAATGCGGATTATTCATCTTGCTTTCATAGCTCGGAGGTGATTGTGATTATGATCGTTACATTTATTGTTTGATTGGATTTTTATAAACAAGTTTCGCCATTGACCCCTATTTTAAAGGAAATTCTTAATACGTATTTGTTTTCTTAAATATGCGACCCATTTCAATGACTTACAAACCATTATGTGTGTTCTATAATTACTTTAATATGGATTGATCAAAATTTAATTTGATTTTAGTAAGTAATGTATTATTTTTGATGTCATTTATATTAGTGTTTAATCGTCATTTATATTTTGTGTATAATGACTAATACAATAATCTTATTTTCTCATTTTTGTGCATTTACATTGCTCATTGTTTATTGGTGTGAATTGTACTTCCTGCAATTATCTTTTGATTAAATTTTGGCCTACTGTCCATCTTATACCTAATGATATATATATATATATTTATTTATCAGGGGTCTATTTAGGTTTTTTTGAGGGGTACCTATTTACACCTATTTTGTGAAAATTAAAAATTTTATTAAAACATCAACTCAAAAATATGGATTTATCGTTTCTTATGANATATATATATATATATATATGTATATATATATATATATCAGGGGTCTATTTAGGTTTTTTTTTGAGGGGTACCTATTTACACCTATTTTGCTATTTTGTGAAAATTTAGACATAATTTGTGAAGATTAAAAATTTTATTAAAACATCAACTCAAAAATATGGATTTATCGTTTCTTATGAAATACAAAAATAAAATTTTAAGGAAAAGTATTTTGTGAAACTACCATATTTCCTAGAGTTGAATTTGTGAAGGTACCGCTAAACGGTAGTAAATTTGGCCTCGGCAGACCTCTGTATAAATATATATATAACATATGCCATTGATCCCTATTTTACGGGAATTTCTTACTACATATTTGTTTACATAATATGTAGTCCATTTCAATCCATTAAGGAGCTATTAGCTATCTTAGGATTAGTCTATCTTTCTTTTTTTCTTTTCATTAATTTACTTCACATTATAATTGATATAATATTAAGTAATTGAGTGCAACCAACATTAATGTTTTATTTTTGATCATTTTTACTTTTGAAACAAATATTTTTTCACATCACTGTACGATTATATTGTATCATATGCTTACATATAATTATATGATTTGTAATTCCTACTTTTATTGTTTGATTAAATTTTGACATTATATTTAAGGATCCGTATTATATTTTTTTGTCAAAATCGATGGGTGTTTCAGAGGAACTTATATTCTGGCTTTTGTGTGTTTTGTACTTACTAAGATTACATTAAAAATTTTCAATAATATTTACAATCTTGTATGGATATTTTCAAAAACTGTGAAGGTCATGTATTAAATGGATATTAAGTTAATTTTATATAAAATATGTGATGCAGAAAAAAAACACAATATTTATACCTTAATGTTACCTCCAAATATGCTTGAGATTCTGCCTCTTCTAAACTGAATATTTTTAATTTTTTTTTTTTAATTTACTATACTTAATCTAGACATGTAACATTTCAAACTAGAGAGAGAAGAGTTTTTTTTCCTTTAATTTTCCATTAATATTTTTAACGTATTCAGCTATTTTCGGAAAATATAATGTGGCGTGATTCAAACCCACGACCATTACTTCCTCACATTTAATGGAAGAATGGTAATCCATACAGAGCTTGCTTCTAATTTGGAATAGAAACCATGATCACAATGTTCGAATACACCATCTAAGGAGTTGGGTGTATACAGATTCCATGTTAAAAGCCTCTCCCTTCCTGTTTTTAAAATGTATGGGAAAATATCGCAACAGTATTCCTTTCCTTAATAGGTACTTACTGTATTAAGAAGAGAGCCAAAATATTTTTTTTAAATGTATGCAATGCTTAATTTGATCACAATGTTTTTAATGCAGTTTTGAGATCCATTGCGCAATGTGCATTACCTAATCTTTTGTTTTTGTTACATTTTTCAGTTATAAAACATCACATCACATCACTGTATGATTATATTGTATGTTTATGTATAATTATATGAATTTTAATTCTAACATTTATTGTTGGAATAAACTTTAGGACTATATTTTAAGGAGATCCTTATTATAGTTTTGTCAAAAACGATGGATGTTTTAAGGAAATTCTTAATACATTAGAGAACCGATTATCCTGAACGATCGGAACCATCACGATTCCGGATAACTGATTTTTCCGGTTTTCTGAATCGCTACAAAATGCCGTTTTTTTTTTTAATGTTTATAAAACGAAACTAAAAAATTATTATGAAATAGTGTTAGAAATAATAAAAAATTATAAATAATAATACACTTAAGTTTAAATAAGGAAAGAAATTATGAAATAAAAATTGTATACAGGCTTATATATGTTATTAATGTTATTATTAACATTAACATATATAAGCTATTTGTGCTTATGTGAGATTTGTCTACAAACGGCTTTTAATCCGTCCTCAAAATCAGTTCTTTCGCCAACTCGATACGCCGTACGCTCTAAATAACAAAATGGGCTCAAAATCTTGCAGGAAAAAAAATTTTTTTTAATGGAAGTAAATTAATTTCCAGTTCCGAATTTCATTCCGGTTATCTGGTTTTCCGGTTTTCTGATTTCCGGATAAGAGGTTCTGCACTGTATTTGTTTTCTTAAATGCGTGATTCATTTCAATAAATCCATATCTGCTATGGATCATCTCTAAATAGTTTAAAATGGAATGATCAACATTGATTCTCTTTTAGTCAATAACTTTAAATTATAATTGCTAAAATTAAAACAATAATTTGAGATTAGAAATACTTTATCTTGGTTTTTTAAAACTGAAACTGACTTTCATATTTCTATACATTGCTCATTGTTAGTCTCTGCAAATTTTAATTGTTTAATTAGATTTTCAAACACATTTTACCATCAACTCCTAATTATTCCTGTAAATATTTACATTTTCACTGACTAGCTTCTATAGTAGGTTCTAGACAGAATTGGACTTATAGAATTATGACCCAAGGCCAACAGCAAAGAGTGAAAAGCTGCTATTCAAACTCTTTTAGTTAATGCAAATAAATAATTTTTTATATCCTATATTAGTTTAATTGTATTGATAGCTACTTTGTTTTATAAGATTAATCTGACCAAATAAATGCTACTGAAAGCTAAATGTAAGAAAGTTTATTGTATAAATAATAATTAATTTATAAGAGAAAAAATTAATTTATTGAGAAGAGTTCTGTGTCTGTATCTGCACCAAAATAGTCACCAAGTTTTAGCTACTTCCAGACAATAGTATGAGCCAAACATAAAAATACAAAAAACTTATACGTGAAATTCATAACCACCCCCAAGTTAATCACTATATATTTGTCTTTCATTTATTCCAAATTAAACTGCCAGGTAATTTAATTTGCTGCATCTTTTGATTTCTGTTTGTGTGAACAAATATTGATATTAAAATATCCCACATTTTGTAAACAATAGTGTTTTTTTAATATTTTTTTCCATTTTTTTTTAAAGTTTGCCATAAAGTTTTATTTGTTATAGAAATAGCAAAATGGGAGAATTAATAACTACTTAATACTTTGTAGGAAATGTATAAGAAATAAAGCTTGCTTACTCGCATAAAACTATTCAAGTTATTTAATTTTAATTAGGGTTGCAAGTTTGTTGTAGGATTCACGTCTTCAAAATTCTTTTAAATTTAAGTAATCCAGGAATATGAAAACAGCTAAAAATTATGCACTGAAAGATGTAAACATTGTATAAGTAATAAAATATACTAGGTAAAAATATATCTTGAAAATTTTGCAATATTTATTTTTTTATTTAAATGGGCAAAATTATAAAATATTGTATTCTATTAAAATTATTCTAGTTTTTCCACTTTTTTAAATTCTTATTGCACATCAGGTAGGTATGGTATCTATTCTTGTGAATATTTCGCCCCAGGGGGTAAGAAGACCATCTTATTTGACAGGATTATTGTCATTTTGCTATTGATTTTTTCTCCTGAAAGTTCAATTTATTATTCACTATTAATTTTTAAGTTCAAGAAAATTAATTGCTGTTAAAATGAAATTAATTAATCAAAAAACCAAAAAATCTCTTGTTTTTAACAATTTTTGTGAAAGTGTCCGCATTTTGAAAGTTTTAATAATTTTCAGAAAAATTAATAATTTATAAAATTTTTAACAGTTCTTTGAAACTTAATAAAATTGAATAATACTCTAGGTGAATATAAGATTTAAGGATTAATATAAGATAAGGATATGATGAGATTAAAATAATAGGAGATTTATTATAAAATTCCGTGAATATAATAGGAGTAAGATTTTTGTTGAATATAATAAGATTAACACTTTATTAACCAGAGCAGTTAATTCAATTAGTGAATTGAAAATTTAAATCAATATTTAAGTCTATTTTTAAAAAAATCATTAATATTATAATTAATGAGAAATATTTAGGTGCCTTTCTTTTAGGTGAATGAAATTATTTATTCAGTTTCAAATAGTTTAGAAATTTCTAATTCCAACTTAAAAATATGGTCGTGTAAAACTGCATACAATAATCTACTTCTTGAAATTTATATTGTTAACTTATAACTTTATAATTGAAAATTTATTATCATGATTTCTGATTACGAATTTATAATTTGTTTAGAATTGCATTTTAAAAAGATATTCTAAAATTGAATGAGCAGAGCCAGATTTTATATATTACTGTGACATATAGAAGATATTTTTTTACATAAATGTTTTTTTTATACTATCCTTTGTTTATTTTTTCTGAAGGAGTGAAACAGAATTTATGCATTAGAAGATTAAGACTTAAAAAGAGTTGAATTTTAGAGAGATTATGAAGAGATTAAAAACATAGTTCAAGATTAGTATTTGACTAATTATTAAAACAGAGATTTTTAATAAAGCAAATATTCAAATTTTTGAAATAAAATTATACTTTAAAAAAAGGGTTATATGGTTAAAAATTTTCTTAAATTTTTTTTCTCCTTTTATTAAAAAAAACTTATATATTTTACAAATAAATTTGTTGCCATTAGTTTTTGAAAATTTTTTAATAATTTGTTATTTGTGTTGATTAAATTCTGTTGTTAAATAAAGTGATTCATTAAACTATACATGCTTTTAAAAAAAATAAACTGCTAGTTCCCATTATGCGGAGAAGTACAAAAACCAAACAAGTAAATTCATGTAATTGAATTACTTTCCTTTAAAATTGATCTAAAATAATATTAATCTTATCATTATTAATTATTAAGTGCATTAATGGAAGAAAGAAATTTATACATATAAGAATTTTATATAAGAAAAATTGAGAAAGTGATTATTTCATTAAAATCTTAATATTAAAAATTTTAAGACTTTTTATTTATTTAATTTTATTTGTATAGTAATGTGGTGAAAGTTTTTTTAAAAAACTGTTTTTCTTTAAAAACTTGAAAACTAAAAAATTGCAAGTTAAACGAATTTTTTAAAATGAAAAATATGTTATTTAATGGGGATAACAGTACTTACACGTTCAATTATCAAGTAGCCCAAAACCAAAAAGCCACTGCTAAGTTCTACTACCTGCAGTAAATTAAAATAAAAATATATAGTGGCTTAGCTGGTAGGGGTACGCACCATGTCCCTTCAGCATGTCCTGTTCTATGATGTTTTTTTATTTTTCTGATGCCACTGTCAGTTTTTAGTTGTCAATTATCTCGTTCCTAACGTAATAAAATTTACATTTGAAAGTTAATGTGAGATAATCATTCTTCTATTTTAAGATTTAGTTTTAATTCAACTTAATTCCTTCTCATGTTTTGGTGCATTTCTATGCCCTAATTTCCCAGTCTACTCCATGTTAATGCCATTTGTTTTTCTTTCTGTTGTTCTTTCTCTTATAAAAATGATTTTCATAAATTTAATATTTAATAATCATTTTTCTTTTATCTTAAAAGATATCGCAAATCAAATGTCTGTTTTAAGCAAGTGTGTCTTAGTTTTTAAATTTTTCTTTTGCTTTTCTGCATATTTGTATGATTTGTTTATGAAATGAGGCAAAAATTTATGTATTATCATGTGTATTACTTGAACCCATCCTTTATCTTTTCCGATATTTTAGTACAGTAAATGCTGTTTTTCTTATAATTTTAGGTTCAACTTAGCTCATCAGCGTGATGGTCGATGCCTTCTTCTGGGACTGAAATACATTCTCTCAATGAAGTTTGGACGAAGAAGCAACTGAATTTAACAATTAAGTCTCCTGCCAAACCACAATCTGAACTTGACACCAAAGAAGATTTCGATGATTTGCTGCATTTAAAATGCAGGCTTATAAATACCGTAGGAAATGAAAGCAGTGAAGTCGACGTTAAACTTCCCTACGAAAGGCCTCTCATACACAGGAAGGGATCACCAGTTTACACAGTAGGCAAAAAGGAGAAACCTACGTTAGACGAGGTTTTAGGAAGCATACCTCTCGTGTACAATCCATTCACAAAACAACTCGAGCTCGAATCTCGCTCAAAATCACAAACAAAAAACTGTAAACACATTCCTCATAGGTTTGGAAATGGAACCCATTTTCCAATGGATCGTGATGGCTCCCTTGCATCGAGGGACTGCTGTGGTGAAAACAGAATCACGGCCGCCGGTTCTGAAGAAGCACACAAAAACCAGCACAAATGTCGGCTTTTGTATTCCGAGAAAGGTGAAGCGATGGGTGGAAAAGTGGAAGAGGAGGAGAAAGAGGACGTGATGGACGAGATTAATGACGATATTTGTGCTATGAACTTTGAGAATCACATTTCGCAATCTCCCACCTCCGCATCTCTTCAGCACACTGACACTTCATCGTTCACGAGTATGTCCTCCGCTGGAACGGAAGTATCATTTTGCATCGGAGGCTCACAGGGAGGATCCAACCTATCTCTCTGTTATTCCTGTGATAATTTACAGAGTCTACCTGAAGATTTCCAGAAAGGAACCAAACCAAAGAAATGGGGTCTTTCAAGTTTTCTTTTAAAGTAAGTAATGTGTAGTGTAAATTTTTAGTATCTTTTGAAAGCATAAATTTTGACTGAGTTGTGCTAATCATATTTTTAATAATGAGTTTTTAATTTTTTTTTTAGATTGCCATGGAAGTCAAAACCTACTATTGAAAGTGAAGCTGAGATATCAGACCAGCTGCAGCGTTGTCCCTCAGCCTGTTCATCAAGCAGTCGAAGAAGTGATGAATGCATAGCAACTTCTACTACTGCCCTTATTCTCGAAAACCGACCCTCGTGAGTGTAAAACTTTGTTACATCTAAAAGTATAAAACATCATTCCTTGACGCTCATTTTTTTTCCAGTAGCTGTTTCTTTTCAGTTTTCTTTTTAAATACATTATGACATTATGTGGCTGTATATGAAAAAGTTTTAAATGGTGTATTATGAGAGTTTCACATCTTTGTAACCAAACTCAGTGTCACAAATCTGCATCAAAAACACAAGAAATTGCATTTATATTGTATTGGTAAAAATATTATTATTCTTACATTAAATTGCACATCATGTAATGCTAAATATTAAATTACTTTTCATGTAGAAACTAGCATATGTTGAAAAGAAAATGTCTTGAAAAAGTCCNAACCGACCCTCGTGAGTGTAAAACTTTGTTACATCTAAAAGTATAAAACATCATTCCTTGACGCTCATATTTTTTTCCAGTAGCTGTTTCTTTTCAGTTTTCTTTTTAAATTCATTATGACATTATGTGGCTGTATATGAAAAAGTTTTAAATGGTGTATTATGAGAGTTTCACTTCTTTGTAACCAAACTCAGTGTCACAAATCTACATCAACAACACAAGAAATTGCATTTATATTGTATTGGTATAAATATTATTATTCTTACATTAAATTGCACGTCATGTAATGCTAAATATTAAATTACTTTTCATATAGAAACTAGCATATGTTGAAAAGAAAATGTCTTGAAAAAGTCCTTTTATTTGCTTGAAATATCGACCACTATAGCACTATATGCTAACAAAAGATTAAATTTCCCAATTGACTTTCTCAATGAGGTATTTTTTGTCTAATTTCATGTTAAATGTATTTATTATTGGACTGAATTTGGCTGTAAAATGTTCAAAATTATTATATTTTGCTTTTTTGCCCCCAAAAAAAATGCATAATGTGTATATGCTTAAAATTATATTGTAGGAATCTCCCTGCAAAATCTGTAGAGGAAGAAATTAAGCACAAGCAGCTTTATGAAGAAATGGTTAAAGGAGCTAGAAAAAAAGGTGTGAGCATTTTTGTTCATTTTGTAAACTTTTGTTTTTGCAAAAGTTAAAATAATTGCAATCTTGTTTTTTTTAAAAATTGTTTTAGAATTACAAGATGCTAAGATTAGAAAAAAGCAAGCATATCACCAACAAAAGCTAGAAGAGCAATTAATTACTGCCACTAAAGCCTGGAATGAAGATATATTACCTAATTGGACCTCTGCGTATGTACATTGTTTTTGTTTAGATAATGTCAAAAGAAATCTAGAGCCTTGATTTTTTTTAAAAAAATGTGTTGTAAATCATTATTTTACTAGCCTAAAATTCAGCAGATAGAGGAAAACTTTTCATGTTAAGTCTTAAATAATTTTGTGTTTCATTAAGAAAAAAAAATCTTCTTTTGAAGTGAGTTATCGAAATTATTTTTTTATCTTTTTTTTAAATGATTGTTAAAAAGTATTACAAATATAATCTATTCGTGTATAGATAAAGAGGAAGATGTCTTAGAGGAAATTTTTTATATCTATGTACTATTATGTTTATGTCTGCCTATAGTCTTTTTGTTCATCATTAGTTCTTAAACAATTTGTATGAAGTCTCTTCCTTAAATAATTTAACAAATTTATAAAATAATTTAATAAATTTTAATATCTTATTAGAGCTTTAAAATTTTTTTTCTCTGAAGACTAATTATTTTGAAAATATTGTTAAATGTCACATTATATTTAAATCAACCAATGAATTTGACTTGAGTTGTGATTAAAATCATGATTTAAAACACTTGAATGTTTTTAAAAAAAATATTTTTTTTTCTTCTTTCATTTAACTAGTCATTATTTGTAATGGCTATGTTATCATTCTTGTGTATGGTTTTGTATATTCAAAGATTAGAAATAAATTGGGAAATAAAAAAGCCAGAAAATTAATATTTTTGAACAAACTGTTCATGCCTTAGTTATTTTTTGAAAATGCTAAACATATTATAGTATTATCTAATGTATTAAATTTTTTCCCCTTATAATTTATAACTTTTGAACAATATTCTAAAAGCACATGTTAAAATTTTTCCTACAGTTCTCTGATATTTTCCTTCCTTTCTAGTTTAATATTACTCATTTCATTACTTTTTTTCTGAATATATGTGATCTTATGATGATTAATAAACCAATAAATGTGTATGCATTCTCATAAATGGAACAACAATTCATTTTCTTAGATAGTAAAGTTTATAATGTGATCTTTAAACAACTTTATTTTATTATATGTCTACTTGAAATAATGTTATTGCTTAAAATTTTAAATAACATTTAAAATTTTACATATGTGTCTTAATTACATTTATTCAAAATCTTTAACTACACTTCACATTTAAATTGCATATTTTGTGTTGGTAAAAAATTAAATATTTTTAAAAAGTTACTAGTTATCAAATAAAAACAATTTGACTTAAATGAAAAAAAATATGATTTCAATAAGAAAAATCAATTTACTTCGATTTTTAAAAAAAACACTTTGCCTAAAATTATTTGATTTATTTCTTGCATGCACAAAATAATTAAATAAATGAAATAAACATTCTTAACATGGCATTGAAATTCTGGTTATCAATGTAGAATTTTCTAAGTAGTATTATCAATTGAGCATTATTTAGTTATATTTACAATGTAAAGATTATTCCAGTTAAATTGATGGACTAATTGTAAAATCCTTATCGTGGTGGTGTGGTTTGTGTGTGTTGTCGATCCCGAGAGCTATGCCGGCGGTAGCTTAGCTACTGGCAGGGTCACCCAAGCCGGACAGGTCGAAGGAGAGACACCAGACCAAGAGGAACACCCTAGTCCTCCAGGTTGGGGGTTGGGCGTGGGGCTAAACTCAAGACAACCCCGGAAAAAAAACTCAAGTTAAGAAACCTCAACAAAATGCAAAACCCGGCTCACATCCACCCAGACGACTCAGAACGAAAAAGAACTTGAGATTTGGAACATAGAACATTCGCACCTTGTATAAAGCAGGAGCATTAAAGAGCCTGATAGATGTATTTGTTGACTACAGACTTGACATCCTTGCAATCCAAGGAATCAGATGGTTGGGCAATGGAATTATGGATAAAAAGGATTGCAGAATATACTACAGTTGCCAGGACAAAATTCACCAATTCGGTGTAGGTTTTGTCGTGAGCAAAAGACTAAGAAAGACTGTCATCAACTTCCAGGCTATTAGCATGAGACTCTGTAAAATCAGGCTAAAAGAAAAACATTACAATACCACCTTAATCTGTGCTCATGCACCAACTGAAGAAAAAGATGCTTCTGAAAAAGATATCTTCTATGACCTGTTGATGAGAAGCATTAACTCGTGCCCAGCACAAGACATGAAGATCGTTATCGGAGACTTCAACGCTAAAATTGGAAAAGAGCAACACCTTAGATACCACGCGGGTGCTGAAAGCCTGCACTACTACACCAGGGAAAATAGACAGAGACTCTTTGATCTTGCAGTCTCAGAGAATTTGTTTATTTCTAGCACAGCATTCCCACATAACGAAGTCCACAAACACACCTGGCGATCCCCAGATGGCTCTACACATAATCAAATTGACCATCTACTTGTGGACAAGACACACCGCAGCAATGTACTTGATGTGAGAAGCTGCAGGGGTGCAAATGTAGATACAGACCATGTACTCGTCGTGTCCAAAGTGAGACTTCGACTCTGTAAAAGTTTTTATCAAAAGAAGGAAAACAAGGACTTTAAACTTGACATTTCTAAACTGAAAAACGACAAAATTCTTAAAGAGTATAACATCAAGCTATCCAACCGACTTTCTTAAGGAAAAGGAATACCGAACATTGTTTTTAACTGGAATACAATAAAAGACATTGTCTTGAAATCTGCTAGTGATACTATTCCAGAACTGGGGCGTCCTTCCAAAAACGAATGGTTCGATGAAGACTGCCATAAGGCAACTGAGGAAAAAAATCAGGCATATAGACTAATGTTACAGAAACATCGCACACGTTTCTTTGAAGAACAATATAAGAACCTGAGAAGAATAGAAAAGAAACTATATAAAGCAAAAAAGAAAGCCTTCTTTGAGAAATCACTGGAAGATCTGGAAACCATGAATAACCAAAATGAATGTAGGAAGTTTTAAAAAAAAGTCAATTATATGTGAAGTGAGTTTAAACCAAGAACTATTACCTGCAGAAACAACGAAGGTGAACTCGTAAGTGAGCCTCAAGAGGTAACCAAAGTTTGGAAGAGTTACTTCCAAGACTTGCTAGTAGGCTAGGATGATATTTCTGTCCCTCGCAACAACCCAGTAGATCTAGCCATACTGAGGGATGCAGATAACCCCCCACCTTCAATCGATGAAGTGATAATGGCTATTAAAAAACTCAGAAACAACAGATCGGCTGGTCCCGATTGTATCCCATCTGAGCTTCTTAAAACTGGCGAACCCCAGTTTATTGATGCTATCCATAAACTCCTAATTGAAATCTGGAACACTGAGAATATACCCATTGAATGGGAAGAAGGTTCCATCTGCCCTATTTTTAAAAAAGGAGACCAACTTGAATGTCGTAACTACAGAGGTATAACACTCCTCAATACGGCATATAAAATCTTCTCCAATATTCTTTTCAAAAGGCTCCAGCCTTTTGCTGATAAAGCGGTCGGAAATTACCAATGTGGATTCAGGCCTCAAAGGTCTACCATTGACCAAATTCATACTCTAAGACAGATCCTTGAAAAAACTAAAGAGTTCAACATCAGGACTTTTCACCTATTTATAGACTTCAAAGCTGCCTACGACAGCATTAAAAGAGATAAATTACTTGAAGCGATGAACGAGTTCGGAATCCCTACAAAACTCGTAAGTCTCACCCGTGCCACTATCAACAATGTGAGATGCAGGATTAAAATCCAAAGCCATCTATCTGAACCTTTCATTACCAAAAGAGGCCTGCTTCAACGAGACTCTCTTACTTGTCTGCATTTTAACCTGGCATTGGAGGAATACATACGGGATAGCGGATTAAAGCGAGGAGGATCTATTTGGAACAGATCTCTCCAAATCCTCGCTTATGCGGACGACATTGATATCATAGGAAGATCAGAACGGGCTGTTAAAGATGCCTTTCAAGCCCTTGAGGCCTCTGCTATAAATATGGGCCTTTCCATTAACGAAGACAAGTCCAAATTCATGGAGTTTTCAAGCTCAACTGTAAACTATAGTGAACCTTTGCAGATAAACGGACATTCCTTTGAAAAGGTTAGAGAATTTAAGTATCTTGGTACAATTATCAATGACCAAAACAAACTGAAATCTGAAATTGACAATAGAATCAATTAATGGCCAACAAATGTTTTTTTGGACTAAAAAGTCAACTAAGATTGAATTTTATTAGTCCAAAAACAAAACTAAAATTATATAAGACACTCACTCTGCCTGTCTTGCTATACGGAAACGAAACCCGGACTTTAAACCTTGATGTCCAACGCCCGATAGAAACGTTTGAAAGAAAGATACTTAGAACTATCTTTGGTGCCATGCCAGAAGGGGGATGTTAGCGAACACGGTACAACTTTGAACTTTAAGAGCTCTATAAACATCCTCAAATTATGCAGATAATCCGAAGCAACCGACTAAGATGGCTCGGCCATATATGGAGAGGCTCTGAAGATAGCCCTGTAAAAATTGCCACCTTCAAGAACCCTCAGGGGTCCCGCTCTAGAGGTAGACCACCTACTCGATGGCTCAACGACACCGAAAACGACCTCAAAGTACTGAAACTTAAGAACTGGAGGGGAGTTGCCATGGACAGAGGTAGCTGGGAAAGGCGTGCTGTTGAGGCAGCCAAGGCCTGCAAAGGGCTGTTGCGCTCCTGAAGAAGAAGAATTGTAAAATAATTTATTAACCTTTGAATGCATAAATTTGATTCAAATCAGCGAAATTCATCTCTAAACTATTCTGAGTACGAAATCGATTGTTTATGTAGCAAAATATGCTTTTCAGTAACTATAACATGTCATGTTGATTGAATGCTTTTATCAGAACCAACACTGACGAGAGAAAGTTTGTTTGATTTTTTTTTACTATGTTCCATGTATATTTGGTTACTATGTGTATGACATACATACTAAAATATTTCTTGATCATAATTATGTTTTGCTTATTAATATTAATTTCTCTTATTCACTTTTTTGAATCTATAGTTTTATTAACCTGTGCACCTTTTGTTTCCAGTAAGGATTATAGAAAAACGAAAGATTTGTGGTGGAAAGGTCTACCTCCAAGCATTCGGGGACGTGTCTGGAAGTTGGCTATTGGAAATGATTTAAACATTACCCAAGAACTATTTGAAATCTGCACTGCACGTTCCAAAGAAAAGATCTGGGTTACCACTGATGTCACATCATGTGAAAATGGTGAAGGTAATTTGTGGAAAATTTAAGTTCTCTATCTATCTAGATAATTTTATTAATTCGCTAGGATTGAAAAACTTTTCTTTTTTCTTATTTGGTTATAAATTCAGCATTGCAATTGAAGTAATCTATATTTATAACAATAGAAATATACAAATCAATTCTTAACAATTTTTCTATTTTTAATTATGAAGTATTGATTTGATGAAAGTTCAAAAGTTGAATTTATTTATTAGTTTTATATTTGTACTTAAAAAATCATTCATTGTTTCATAATTTTTTTTATGTATCATAACTTAAAATATTTTATTAAAATGGTTCAGTTAAAATTTTGAAATGATGATCTCAACGTTTACAGGATTGCAGTCTTGCCCTGCTTTTTGGTAACACCTGATAGAAGTCATGAATTTGATTGACCCCCTTTTTCCCCCATGTCCCCTGAATCCCATTTCAGGTCTTTCTTATAACTTTTTAGACTTGTTTTTTTTAAAGAGTAGAATGATATAAACATCAATTTTAATGCTTATCATTATACATATTTGCTTACTGATAATTGAATTTTAACTTTTTTGCGGGGTAGGATATATCTGGAGTGTGGAAAGAAAGCAAGGTGTATGTGTTGAAAAAGTGTTTAATGAAATAGAATAGCTCAAAGTTATTAAATTCTAAAGTAAAGAATGCTCGCAGAAATGTCAAGATATTTTCCAAAATGATAAAAACTTCATTGCCATTTTCTTTTTCTCTTGCATACTTTTATAGTATAATTGTTGTTAAAGATAGCTAAGTGAACTTGATTTAAACTTTCCTCAATAACAAGTATGCTGTTCATTTGAAATTTTTATTAAAAAGTCTTTTAAAATCTTCAAACAATTTAATTACATAAGATGACAAAAGAATGCTATATATTTGAAAAAAAGAGGACATCAGTTTTAAAATAAAAATATTTTAATTATTGAACAGCATTATTTCAAAAATAAACATCAATATAAAACAATGTTATCAAAGTGTATAAATTAGTTTACTCACTATTAGACTATGTAGTTAAGAATAGAAATAAGTGGAAATATAGTTAAAAATGTAATTTAGAAAAAATGTAGTTTAGGATAGAAATTTGAATTTTAAAACCACATTTTAAAAATTTAGTTTAAAATAGAAATAAATCAAAATTTGAATGAAGATGGAATTTAAAATTTATTTCAGAAATATTTATATTTTTATTTATTAATTTTTTCACTAGTTGTGTATAAAAAAATCTTTTCATTATTTTTAAGACCTGATTATATTTTGAAAATAATAATGTTTCTTTTTTTAATAAATTTTGTGCAAATTCTTTTTTCACTCCTTAATTTGTTTGAAAACATTTATTTGCAGATGGAGCAGACTCTATGGAAAATGCTGCAGATTTTATTAAGCTAGATGTTTCAAGAACTTTTCCTCAACTTGGTATATTTCAAAAGGTATAAATAAAAGCTTAATTTTTCTCATTTTTTAATTTCATGTAGTCTACTTATAATTTTCTCTTAAGAGTGTTTCCTGTTTACACCTAAAAATTTAAAATTAAAAAAAAAGTTTAATGTGACTTAATTTTTTTGCCAAAATGAGGCAAATTTTAATGTAATAAACAACTTAACCATGGCATTGTTAAATATCCATGATAATGAATCTGATTACTCTATTACTTGTCATTTATCAAAATTATTTATTTATCATAATTGTGAATATTTTTTGTCCTGATTGTCATCTAAATATTGAATTTGATTTCTTGTAATCCAGATGTCATGGAAATACAAGTAATTACTCAGTAAACATTTACTGCAATCCATTACAGTAGTGATCAGTTTTTGCAATGGATGCTGAACTTTAGTAGTTTGCTGTGCCATGTCTGAGTTTTCAAGTTTTATAGTTGAATGAAAATAAAGTGATTATTTTTTTTTCCTTCATGTGTTTGGAATAAACTTTTAATTTTTTAGGGTGGACCATACCACAATACATTAGAGGGTATTTTGGGTGCCTATGTCATTTACAGACCTGACATTGGATATGTAAGTGTGAACAAAATAATAATTTTGTAATTTTTTTTCTTATTTAATTTTAGGATTTTTTGTTAGCACTTAACTAAATTCTACTCCAAGATTCCACAAAAATCAGTAGTCCATATTCCATATTTTTGTAAGTTATATGAAAAACTAGTAATCCTTTAAACTATTACCCGTCCTTAAACCTCTCCTTACTTACCCTTTGCATATCTAAAATTTCTATTTGTAATAGGGATGTAATGAATAGTGGTTTGGCCCAATACCAAATATTCGTCCAAAAATATCGTCTGAATCCCAAATATTTGGCGGTCGAAAAATACTTTAAAGAAAAAAATCATTGATAAATATTTTTATATATAAATGAGTTTAGTTATTAAAAATAATCAAAACTTAGTTGTATTATTGGTATGGAGTTAAAGGAAAAAAACTTAAATAAAATTGTTTACGATATAAAGATAATTAAATAAAGGCATTTAGAAGTATTTAAGATAAATAAAAACCTGACTAATAGCTATGAAAAAAAAAGTTGTAAAGTTGAAAAATAGAAAAAAAAGCATTGTCTTAAAAACAGGACTTTACAGCTAAAAATATTTTCCATCAAATGTTAAATGAGATAATATCTATCAGAAATGCTTTTAAAAATGCAGTGCTATCATCCAAAAAAGAAAAAGATTACAATACAAAAGCAAAACAGAAAAAATTAAAAATGGTCTTAGTTTTTGAAAAAAAAATTTTTAAGCGACACATCTCAGTTTTCCAATTTCTGTATGTCAAGAAAAAGTGGAATTTGAAGTCTAATAGAAGCCCTCTTATTTGCTGCGTCATAATAAAAATGTCTATAAAAACAAAAGTTTTTTGAAAAAGAAAAAGCTAGATGAAGACCAAAACAAAAATTGATCTTAATTTTAAATGAAAGATTTAACGCTAAAAATCTCACTTTAACTTTTTCACTTTGCTTTTTTTTTTTTTTAAGTGACCATAAAAGAATATAATGTTCATTAGAAATGGTCTTTAAAAAATTATGTCATATTAAAAAAAAACGCTGATGAAAACAGATAAAAAAAGGCAAAAGAGAAACAGAAAGAAAAATTGTTCTTAGCTTTGAAATATATCTTTATCGTTGAGAATCGCAGTTTTGTAAGTTATCTGTCTTACCATACAGGATAAAGGGAAGAATAAAGTCTATTAGAAACGCTCAATTGAAATGCTGTGTTTAATAGTTAATATAGATAGACAACAAAAAATGAAACAAAAAAAAAACTTTCAATTTTTAAAACATAAAGTGTTGAAAAAGCAACTAAACTACTTGCCTGAATATAAAAAAAATATATATGTACAGATAGATCAGCAATACATTTCATGGTTCAGTACAGAGTAATCTAGTTTCGATTTTTCAAATGATGCTTTTCCTTTTGTCTTTCAAAGCATAAATTAACAAGTTTTAGAACTTATTTAAATGTGTATTAAAAAAGTTTCGGATAATTTATTGTAAAAAATACGATTTTAGATTATTCTTTATTGAATCTATTCAAATTTCCCTCCCTTCCCCTTCAAAAAAAAAAACTTCATCAAAAGATACTTTTCCAAATAATACTTAGCTGAATATTTGACCAAATATTTAGGTTAACATTCGGCCAACCGATTATTCGGCAAAAGGGCGTAATAGGCAGAATACAAAATGATGGCTGAATATTTGTTACATCCCTAATTTGTATTATAGGTTGATAATTGTTTTGTGCTAGAATATTTGTGATGATTTGTATTGTATAAGATAGTAGTAATCTTTTAAGGCTAATGCATTTTCTATAATATCTCCTAGTTTTTGGGATCCACACTTATTTCATTTTTTACATTAAGTGATATTTTACTTTTTTTTTAGAGCAATATCGATTTATTTTAATAATAAAGAGAGGGTGTAAGATAAATTGTACAAAATATTTTCAAAGTCTAAGAGTAACATTCTCAAATTAAAAGCCTTTTAAATTTGGCTCATTTAGTCTTATTTGAAAATATTAAAATTATTGTAATATTTTAACTTTCTATGTAGCAAAATTGATTTTATAAATTTTTTTATTGCATCTGAATTACTTCTTTGATTTTTAAATAAATGTTTTACATTTATGTGGTTAAACATTATTTGCGTAAAGAATTTTATTTTAAAGGGAAAAAAATCAGAATGTCTAAAAATTTCTTATGACACCTACATTATGGAATTTTTTATCCATTGACTCCAGGTTTCTCCTAAGTTTGTTGAAATTGGTTTTAAAAAAAGTTACAGTAGAAATTCGATTTAACAACTTTCGTAATGGCTGGACAATAACATTGCTGTATCAGGTACATAGCGATTCCTAGGGAAACAGAAATTTAAATCTGTACAACTTTTATTATATTTTTTAATTGTTAAATACAATAATAAAATCGGAAACTTAAATGTAATTAATTTAAAAAAGATATGTTGATGACAGTTTTGCTTTGTTAGAGGAAAATAATTGTAATTTAGATCAAATTCTTAATGTTATGAACCATTGATTCTTGCATTCAGTTCACCTTTGAATTAGAGACTGATCAAAAACTTCCTTTCTTAGATGTTCTTGTGACTCGGAATGATAATTAATTCCATACTACTGTCTTTCGTAAACCTTTTGCTGTTTCTCTTCCCCCTCACTACAAATTCTCCCACCATCCCAATCAAAAGCTTGCTTCTTTTCGGTCTTTTGTCTACCGTGCAGTAAATATCTGTTCTAACATTAATTTTCTTGATGCAGAATTAAATTACATCAAAGCGATCGCTCATGACAGAGGTTATTCTCCTAACATTATTGATAATATTTATAAAAACTTAACTAAACAATCGCCTACCGATAAACCTTCCAAAGAATTTTCTAACAATTTAGTCATTTTAGCCTATTTTCCTAAAATAAGTCAGCAAGTTGCTAGTATCCTAAAGAAGTTTGTTTTTAATATTATTTTCAGTCCCATTAATAAGATAAAATTTTCTAATCNCGGCGAGGATCGAACCCACGACCTCTTGGATATGGGCCCAGCGCCCTACCGACCAGGCTTTCCCGGCCTGCCTTTCATATATTGACCAAACTAAGCGTGCCTTAAAGTGCCGTGTCAAGGAACATGAAGCCTATGTCAAAAAAACAAGAATTTAAATGCTCATCTATTGCCCAACATTGTTGGGACTCTAATCATGATTTAGATTTTTATGAGTCCTATAATGTTTTCAAAAATTCCAAACTGTTGGTCAATGACCTATCCAGCGTTCCCTATCCTTCTCCTGTTTGGAAATCTATGATTAAACCTAACTAACCCTCCCCTTTTTGTTCCTTGCTTCCCGTTTGTCGTCATCCATTCACCCTTCCCACCTATTGGCCGTTGCTCTAACCTCCTTGTGACGTCACCTTTCTCTATATATTTACCCTGTTTTCTCTCATTTCTTTCTGTTGCACTGATGAAGGTTGCCCTTTGAGCATCCGAAACAGCTGTCTGCATTTATAAATATTTTTGTGCTCTTAATGTTGTTTACTTTAGTTTGTATTTTAGCACAAAGGTCTCCCACTTGTGTATTCTTAATTAATTTAGTTGATAAGAAAAAATTTAACTATTTTAATGAAAAATAATCTGACATTGTTTACCTTCTTTTTTGTTTGTCTTAAAGTGCACAATGAATTATCAAACAATTCAAGGGTATCCATTTCTCTCTCTTGTGCTGCATGACCTTGGAAGAAGAAAAAAATGTCTGTGTCTGCGGCATAACTGCTGCTTCATTGAATGATGCTGGTGAATCTGAAGATTCAGTCTTTTTCATTCCTTGGTTCATCACTACTAGATTCCATAATTTCAGCTATTGAAATCTCCTCTGATTATCAAGTCATTAGATAGTTATCACATTAAAAATACCCCATAAAGTTGGCTTCAGCTCTGTTCTGTGGTCAGTACTGGTGTAAAACTATATTTTCTGAACTCCTTTTCTGGAACATCAGTATTTCAGAGAAATAATGAGAAAACTCTTTAAATGCCTGAATTTTTTTTTTTACGCTATTGCTTTAAGATATGAAAAGGGATCAAGTTGAAAAGATGTTAAATCTGGGAAATAATTATCTGCGGTTGATGTTAAGTTTGATGCTGACTCTATGAGGTTTTTGCAATTCATTTTTGGTTGCAAGGCGGAAGACCGCACGTTGTACAGCTCTAATGAAGGTGCTTTTGCTTTAATTTTGAATTTTAAATGTTTAATAAGTTCACATTATTTCAAAACTTCTTTGGAAATTTTATGTGGGAATTTAAGAAAGTTAAATAAAAATTGTTATTGTGATATCTAACTGGTGCTAAAAATTTTAATAAATGAAAGTTGTATTGTCATATATTAAAATAGCTTTTGTTCTCAATTTTTGTTATTCGTAGTATTTACAGATCTGGAATTTAATTGTATAATATACTCTATTGAATAATATTCATTCTCTTTTAATTAGTTTTTTTTTATTAAGTTAAGTCCTTGCAATTTATTGTAATATCTAACACAACACATAATTTTTTAAAGCTTATAACTAGTTAAAGCAAAAATTAATGCATATATTATTGCCATACTTTGTATTCAAGAAATAAAATTGTAGTAATACTTTCCATGCTCCATATTTGTTTTTAATTTAATTCAAGTTATTCTTTCTAACTTGATTTGTTANCTTCCTGTGATTATTTTTATTTTATTTATTTATTTTTTTTACTTTTATTTTTTTTTATAGTGATAGTATTCTACTTATATAAGGAATTTGTATTCTAATTTTTTTTATTTATTTATATATTTTTTAGCTTTTTCTAAGATATTTCTTTTATACTATGAATATGTGTTGCTTAAATGTGCATACTTTCTCTAACAATGCATTTTACTTCATTTATAAATTAAGATATTAATATTTTTTACTTTTGTGAATCAGATTTTCCAGTCTTTTATTCAATATAAACCATAAATTTTTTTTTAGGTCCAGGGAATGTCATTTCTTGCTGCAATGTTACTTTTAAATATGGATGATGTTGATACATTTATTAGCTTCTGTAATTTATTGAACAGGCAATGCCAGTTGTCATTCTTCAGAATTGAGCAAAAAATGGTAATCAGTTGACATCAATAGGCTATACAAAGCAGAACATCACAAAAAAATAAACATTTAATTACATCCCTCCATTAACAAATTTCTTAATTAGTTATTTTAGATATAAAATAAAAAATAGTAGTTTTAAAATATTTTGTAATAATGAAAAAAAATTTATTTAAATTTTAATATAGTTTGTATCTGTAACATTAGTCATAAGAGTTACGTTTAATGTTTTCTGTTATTATTAATTTTTTTTTTGTAAATAAGTTTAAAAAAAAACATATTACACTTCATGTCCTTTCTTTATATATAACGTTTGTGACATTTCATATTTTTAATCTAAATAAAGCATTTTTAATTTTCTCACCATTTTCTTATATGCATAATATTAGGCTCTTAAAAAATATCTCATATTATTTTTTAAAAAAAATGTTGAGTTAAAATTAATAATTAAATAATTATTAAAATTATTAAGGAAAAAAATTTTAAAAATAAGAACGCCTATCAAAATGTATCATCATGGAATTCATCCAATGTAATACGGTTAAAATTTAATTATTCATAAATAGAAATTTTTTGAACAGGAAGTAATTTTCTTTTGTGCTATCTGAAAACAGGCTAGATATTTTTAAAAGTTAATAACTATAGATATCTTCTGTTAAGAATAGTGCTATTTTAACAATATTCTGTGAATTAGTCTTTTATTAACATTAAAAACAATTACTAAAAATTTTTTTGTTTTTATTACATGTTATAAAACAATGCTTCGTGTTTTGTGACACTTATATATTTTAGACAGAGAATTTTAGAGTAATAAGCACTGTAGTTGATAATCCCTTAATGAAATATTAAATATATTTATTTCAAGTTATGTAATAAATAAGTAATAATTAACTATAAATTTTTTTCAAAAATAGATAAATGCGATTTTTAAGAAATTAAAATTAATCTTATGCATTCTTAATTAACAAGTAATTAAATTTAAGAATTGTGACTACTAAACTATTAAATTTAAAAAATCTGACTATTAAACTGTTTAAAAAAGTAACTTATTTTTTTGTGTGAGGGAAGTGAGATAATTTTAATGTGAAATTTTTCTGTTGGCTGAAATTAAAGATCGACTATTTACACTTAAATTATAATGTATATTTTTAAATTTAAGGTTGCCTAATTCATGTATGTACTGAAATGTAAAAAAATTATGCATTGAATTTGTTATAAAAAATTTTTTTAAAAAAACTTCAGTATTTGTTAATAATAATTATTTTTTACATTTTAGATGACTGCTTATTATTCAGTTTATGAAGAATTTTTCAAGGAAAACTTGCCTAAGCTATTCAGTTTGTTTGAGAAGCAAAATCTTACGCCAGATTTATATTTGGTTGATTGGTTAGTTTTTTTTCCTTTTTTTTATTTCTCAAATAATCTTTGTTTAAAATTATGTACTAATGTTTGTCTAAAGTATAATAATTTCTATTTTTAATGCTTTTAATTATGGTTTTTATGTAAAGTGAAATTGAGTTTTGTTTTAAAACTAAGTTTAAAAGTAATCTTACTGTTGCAAAGGCATTGCAGCTGCTTTTGTGAACTTTTAATTTGAAATGCAGTTTGTGTTATAGAATCTTAAAAATAAAAACCATGTTTCAAATGCATTGCAGCTGCTATTTTGAACTTTTAATTTGAAATGCAGTTTGCACTATTGAATTTTTTCTCTATATCTTTCAAATTTTAAAATTAAGTTTTTATTTATTTTTTTAAATAAGAATGATTAAGAGCATGCTTATCATTTCGCCCCTGCTTCTGTAGGTTGAGTTTTGTTGTGCAAGCAAATTCCACATATTTTTATTTTTTCCTTAGTCCATGTGTTGGTCCTATATTTATAAATTTAAAAACAATTATTTTTGTAATGTTATATTAGGCATTGAATAGAAATGTTTTTTGTTTCATGTTCATACATAGCTGCAAATCTAGTAGATCATCTAGTGTTTCCCAATTTACTAGTTAAATTTAGAATTTTTCTGGTTTCTTTATAATTTAGACAAATCCATAGTTGAAGTAAGACAAAATTCAAGTCAGTTTATTTTTCTTGGCTACTTGTTTGCTTGACAATTTAAAAAAAAAATTATAAAACTGGGATTAAATAGGAATTAGAATTTTTATAATTTATAAAGCTATTTCTTTATAAAACTATGAGGTTTCTACCACTATTCCTTGTGATTACTTCAGGTTCATCTTTGTTTTTTTTAAGAAATGATATTTTTCTGAAAAAAAAAAGAATAATTTTGTTTGTAAAATATATACTTTTATTATTATATTTACCTGCTATAATTTTATGTGTTTAATTGCTATAATTTTTTGTAAATCATTATGTTAATTGTAACAAAATGAATGATTATTTATATTTGAGAAGAAAAAATCATCTGTATTTGAAAAGAAAAAAATCATCTGTGTTTGAAAAAGAAATTTAACTAAGAATGCAGAATACAGATTGCGTTACTAAATAAGAAGAAATAAATGAGAATTAATTTTACATGTCAACGAGACTGATAACAGTTAAAATATGGTACAATTTTCATCTATTTTGCTTTAGTTTTTTTTTTTTTTTTTTTAATTTTTTTTTTTAAATGTAAAATGTTAGGATGTTTTATCTGACAAGATCTATCCTCTCAGTCTCATTCATTTTTTTTTTTTTTTTTTACTTTTGGCATCAACTTAAGAGTAAATATAAATAACTATCTTGAGTCTAAAATGAAATTTTCCTTAAGAAAGGACAAATAGTCAATATTCAAAGCAAAAAAAAATGCGAGAAAAAGTTGGGGGGGGGGGAAGAAAACACTTAACTGAGAGCTAAAAAACTTTTCAGCAAATTGGAATTTTGAAAAAGAAAACTAAAAAATTGCTCTCTCAGCAAGTCATATTTTCACTTCTTAGATGTGTTCCAGTGGCCAAAGATTTGAAATATTGCAAAAGTGCACTCCAGGCTGCATTGCAGCTTGTAAGGGACTACAAGAGTATCTATTACTACAAGTCAAGTAGTTAATTATAATCGAACTAATATTGAATGTTAGTTTTTATTCCAACTAACTCCATGTACATTTAAGTACACATTATTATAATTTCAAGTTTCTAAATCATCAAAATGTAATGTAAAGCTAAACACCTAGAACAATTGCTACAATTTTTATTTTTTATTTTAGAGAGTATATGAAACCTTTCTGCTACTGAGAATTTTCTAGTTGAAATTAGTTAAAATATTTAAATTTTTTACTATGAAGATTTTTTTTTGACTTATATGCAATTGAAGACTAATGTTAATGTTCAATATGTCAAAAATTTTTTTATATACTACCTTTAATGTCTTACAAATATTACATGAAATATTTTATATTGTACAAAGATTTAAGTATTTGATTTTCAAAATTCTATTCTATATGAGTTTCTTTACTGTTGTGTTCGTAACTATAGTTTATAGTAAATTATCAATTTACCGATAAGAATTTTTTTTTTTCTTTTATAAAGGTTGTATACCTTATATAGCAAATCCTTGCCTCTTGATGTTGCATGCAGAGTTTGGGATGTATACCTGAGAGATGGGGAAGAGTTTTTGGTCAAGACTGCTTTAGGTACTAATTATTCACTTTTGTTATTTGAATTGCTATTTAACTTTGCATATGTATAAAAAGTTTTGTCTGTCAGAGGTGATTGTATTCCAGGAATTCCGGGTTTTTCATATTATCCTTCCCGGTCTAAAAATTAGGAATAAGCATATGAGTTTTCTGGGAATATTGCAAAATTCCACGTTTCTCCAGGCCATTGGTTCTCATACTTTCTCTTATTCAAAACGTATAATCTGATAAAATTTTCAGTAAATTTCTCAATCTTCAATTAAAATTTTGAAATTTTCGCTAATTCCCGCTAACGAGATGCTTAAATATATGTGATTTTCCCCACCACTTGATTTTTTTGATTTTGATAGATTTTCATCATTCTGAATATTTAGAAATGCACGGGAATCTGCTCATATCGCAATTCCTGTTTACCGGATTTAGATATCAAATATCGATTTTTGTATTTACCTAATTTAAAAGTTACACATTGCGATACGTAAAGTTAAAGTTATTTAAAAAGTACACATTCACATTGTCTAAAAATCATACACTGCAATTCGTATTCATGTGATTTAAAAAACCAATCTCACAATTCATATTCACGCAATTTTAAAATTCCAACTTTGCTTGTAAGAACTAACTTTTTTCTTAAATTAGTTACTATAAAGGTGTGATACTCTTCATTGGTAGGTAATATTTAAGAAAAATTATATTAAATGCGAGAAATGTTATAGTAGATAAATTGATATTTTGATATCCACTTTTTGCACATAAAAGTTTCCAGGTTTTTCACTTTGTGTAATAATTACCCCTGATCTATGCCAGTTTTTGGAATTTTTTTTATTAATTTGGCAATTTTTTTTCCAATGAAAAATAGCAGTATTTTAAAGTCTAACATATGAAGGACTTTGAGCCATTTAATGATTACCCTCATTTTCAAATTGTTTCAAAAAGTGTTTTTACGAAAGACTTGGGTGATTAACGAATCAATTTCAATACACACTATAAGATGTTCCATGTATTATGTCGTTACGTGTTTTAAAATCTAAAAACTTGTAAAACACTTATCAAGAAACAATGACAAGAAGCCAATTCATTGTGTTATTGTTAAAATGCACTGTTCGCAAAATACAGTACATATAGTTGTGAGTTTAAATAACATTGTGGTGTGGAGTGTGAAGATAGAAACATTGTTTGAGATTTTTAGCTATCATTTTTCTTAATTTGTTTTTAAAAAATTCTTATCAATTGAAATGTTAGCTGAGGATGAATTTGAAATCAACTTTTAAACACATTTTTTAGCACATAATTAGTTTTTTTAATTTTAAGAAATTGATTTCTGATTGAATTATTGTTGATCTATAATTTTTTATTAATTTAAAAAAAAATAATTAGTTACTTTATCTAATGAATATTATTGACAAATATATGAAGCAACAGAACTTATTTACTTAGAAACAATAAAACTACTTTATCCATTAACTATTTATGGGCTATGCATTTTTTTAAAGCAGCAATTTCTTATAATCAGTAAAAAAAATTTATAAATAAATAAATAGATGTTGTATTGATTAATGTATTTAGCATTGAATTCTTATCAATGCTTTTTTGTTTTAAAAGCTATTGTTTTACTCATTAACTGTTATTTGATAAATGTTTGGTACAGCAAAAGTTGTTTTATTTAATTATTTGTTATTGGTTTCCGACTATTAGTTAGTATTATTATGTATAAACTTGGTAAAAAATTTTTTGATTTATTTGTTAATTAATATTCATTGTTCAGTAAAACTAACATTTGTTTTATTGAGCTGTTAATTTGTTTCTGTATCTGTTCTGTATTATGCATATGAGTAAATTCTATTTAACTTTTCAGGTCTTCTGAGGATGTATGAGGAGATTTTGTTAGACATGGATTTTATACATTTAGCACAATTTCTGACCAAACTTCCTGAGGATATTGATGCAGACAAACTGTTTCTTTCCATTAGTGCCATTCGAATGACTCTAAATAAGAAATCTTTCTCATGTGTGTTGCAACTCCATATTGATAATCTCAACAACAGATAAGGAAAAACAAACATTATGAAATGGATTTTCTTTTTCATCTCTTGACTTGTGTGGGCCTCATTCAGGGATTCTCAGCCTCTTCTTTAATACAGCATTTCTAAAATACACAACATTGTTACAGTGATAAGATTATGCAATTTACAACACACTTCTGATTTACTTTTTAATCCTAGATGATTTTTAAAAAATTTATTTAAGATTAAATCTTATTAATCAATTATGAATCTAATTTATTCAATCAATTAGGAATTTAATCAATCATCTTTTTCCAAAATCAAATTATTCTCTTTTTATTAATAAAAGGTTACATAAGCGTTATTGGTATAATCCAAACTAACTATCCTAATATTTAGCTTTCAGTACATTCTTTTTAGCTTGCAGTTTTCACTAAAGCTATCAGATACGCTTTAACAACAAAATAAAGTTATGCTAAAAATGAATAATTACTCTTGTCTAAAAAATATGCATTATAAAAGTTGATGTTCAAAATCACTTATTGAGACTGTTGAACCCTTTGCTGTGCAAAAAAAAAAAAAAAAAAATATTACCAAAATTTTAGGTGAAAAAAGTCTTACGAATTGTAGTGATTGTGTGCTGATTAAAAATTAAGCACTTCTCATTATTTTAGTGTTTTTCAAAACAAAGTTATTCATAATCAGCTATAATTAAATAAGTAATTCATAATTAATGGTTCATAAATAACCTTATTCTGTATAAGAATAAAAGTATAAATTTTTATTGCTTATATATTTGACAAAAAAAATTAGTTTCATTGTAGAACTACCATGAGGAATAGGGTTGAGTTCTTTTATTCATAAAAAATATATTCAGGTAAAGATAATGTTTTAAAGATTTCCTTTTTTGGTGATCAATATTAGCTAGATTGTTCTGGAATAAGATCATGCTCAATTTTGGTTAAACTGAAAGTCCTATTTATTTTTAGACATTTTAGAATTTAAGGATGTTCACTGAAAGCAATCCGTCAATGAGTATTTAAAAATATAACCTGTCAATAAAACCGTTTCTGAAAGCAATGCTTTAATAGTAGAATTAAAATTGTCCGAAAGCAATTGAAGGATTAAAGTTGTCAATCATCAGTTGCAGAGTTCAAAATCTTGTCCGAAAGCAATTTTTCTAACTAAAAGTTCAAATGTGTGAAATTTAAAAAATGCCACCAAGGTTACTGGTGTTGATCTGAAAATAATGTTTTCATTTATGTATTAAGTTAGTTGTTTAAAAGCAATTATGGAGTCTAAACAGAATGCTGAAAGTACTAGATGTGTGACCTAAATCTACATTCCCCTTTTATAAGTTTAGGTTCACGACAAATCTTGGGACTCTTATTGGCTGAGAATCGCTGGTCTATTTGAATAATGGTTGCCTTATTGCTACAAGTATTAATTATGCAAATGTAATGCATATTGAAATGCGAATGTAACGCTTATTGAAGTTTTCTATACATGAGACTGATTATTTATCTTTTATTTGAAATTGTGAATCAAATACTCTTGTAAATAAGAATTTTGTGTTTTTACATCTATGTTATTAAAATTAGCTCTATTTCATTCTCAAAATTTATTAAATGAGTATAAATTTTATAGTTTTATTGTTATTTATCTGTGAAATTTTCATTTAAGGAAAATATGATTGTAGTGTTTTTACCTTTTTAAATTATACATGATCTGTTAATTTACATTTGGTCATTTACAATGTAATTTTATGGTTTGATCTGAATTAGCTCTTTGTAGAAAAAATAAACTGTTTTTATCCATATTCTGTAGTTTATTTAAATAAATTTTTTTCTATGAAATAGCCTCCAATGTGCAATGAAATATTATCATTGAATTTTACCCTTTTTTAAGCATTCTTAAACTATTTATTTGCATTTGAAAAGTAAATTTGTGGGTTGATATTGGTAAAAGCAAAATTCTCTGTGGAAAACATGAATGTATCGTGAATAATAAATAATGCCTGAATTATAATACATTTCGATTTTTTTTATACTCATTATCCTCTAAGGAGTATTAAAATCAAAAATATTTGCCATTCATATACATTTTTATAATATAAGGGATACTGAGAACTATGGTATTTTTGTTCAGATTATAGAAAAGCATTTGAAAGTTATAAATATTTAAGTTATTTATTTCTTTTAAGTAAGTGGGTTATCTTTCTAAAAATCTCTTACCCGAACTATGAATTGTGTAATTGAAATTAATTCTTATATTGACAAAATAAGAATCTTTCTTAACACTGTCTGCATTATTTGATTTCCTCAATTTTTTCTTCAGATTATCCAGATTGCCTATTAATTTAAAGACTTGAACATTGATGCAGTAAAAAAAAAGTCCATTTTATGTATGTTCAATTTTTATAACTATGAATAAGTTTACATTCAGTTTAAAAATTCAATATAAGTTCATCAGAACTTATATCAATTTGGAGTAAGCCAATTTTAATACATTGAAAAGAATAATCTGTTTATAAACTATTGTTGATTATTTCCTTTTCACCATATGCTTAAAACTTTTTAATTGTAATAAACACAATGTTAGAACATTTCAATAATACTAAAAAATGAAATATATTGTAATGTATTGCTTCTATCAATATCTATAGTAATTTAATCAATTACTATTCAAGTAATTTTAAGTTTTACTCGTTTTTTTTTTTTTTTTATAAATAAAATCTATACTGAGCCTCCTAAGATTCAGTGAAACACTGATTATTGGGAGACCATAATAATGATTAATTTAAATTAAACTAATATAAGGTACTTTCGTTGGTTTTTATTATCAATTGAGAAAATCTTGCATAATAAATATAAATCATTTATTTTGCATTATCATTTCTTTCATTGACTTGTTTATTATTCATTGCATCATTCTGAAATTTATATTATTGGGGCTATGATGTTTCATTTTAAGTCATTTAATAAAGCTTGTTAATATTTATTATCAAAAAAATCTGTAAAAAAAATGCGTGCTTCTTGCTTTAAATAATAATTTAACAATTAGGATATAAAAATTAAAACTAGTAGTATAATGTAGAGTAAATGTGACAATATAGTTATGAACCACACTTATATCATATAAAGTTTTCTTCTAAAATGAAAATTTTTACATTCGTGAAAAATCCTGCCATTTTTTAAAATTAATTAGATATTAGACATCAGTTATATTGAATTTAGAAATAGGTTAGTAATTTTTATAATGAAAATTTAATGAGACTTTTCAATTCATATATTTGGCTTATTTTTATCACGTGATATGGTTGTTTAAAGGCTTATGAACATCATCAGCAACTTTGCTGTGTCATTTAATCTTAGCTTTCTATTATGCATTTTAAGGAAACACGTTATTTATTATTATGTTAAGGTTATATTTTTTTATTTGAGATATTTTCAAGAAACATGTGGTCTGAAATATTTGCAGGTTGTGTTATATATATATATATATATTGCATTGACTTGACTTTCTGACTTCTCAAATACAGAAATTTCAGTTACATACTAATTAAAATCAATAAATGCATTAAAGCATTTTTTGAAGAAATAAAATTACTCTTTCACCAATTATGTTTGTTAAAGAAAAAACAAACTTTAATTGTTTTTCACACATTTTTATTTATATTATTTAAAGTTTGTGGTTTTAGAAAATAATTATGAAGTGTAAGTGGGTGTTATACAATTTGCTGGAACAGGCTCAAGATGAAAATTTAATTTTTTTGAATTCTGGAAAATGTGAGCACAGTTAAATTTTTGTAATCTATAAGGAACTATAATAGAAAATGCTGTGGTATAATGTATCTTTAAAGTAGGATATTTATGCCTGTTATTACAAAAAACTGTTTTTCAATGTTTTTTTCTATCAATATAAACTTAATTATCTAATTATTGATGATTTAATTATTTATCTTTAATGTTAAACTAAATATATAGTGTAAACTTTATAATTAAATAAATGTAAATTACTTAAGTCATTGATTGATTAATTTTTTAATAATAAACTATTTTTATGAATTATGTAAGAATATTTTTTTATGTGTTATTCTTTTAGTTGATTTAATACCATATTAAAGATTTGAATTTTGGGTTTCTAATATTTGTAGTTGATTTTTTTAATTAAAAACTTAGATTTAAAGAATTTTAATCTATCATTATTTTATTATTATTTAATAATGTTTTAAACATTTAGTTTTATTCTCTTGACAAAATATGATTTAATTCATAATTTAAAAACATTGTATAGTAATTTATCACTAAGCAACCTATATGTTATATATACTTTCAATTTCTAAAATTTGGTAATAATTATTTTGGTTCCTTATTTTGAGTGTTGATTATTTTTGTAGTGATATGTGCAGAAATGGTTTTAAATTTATATTCTGCCGATTTTGTATATTGTATTTCTCTATGTAATATATATAGACTATAATAATTTGTGCCTTTTGTAACTAAAAAATTAGTTATTCGACCATTTATTGGGGGAAAAATGTGTAGAAAATACTATATTTCAGTATAGGTTAGAGTGAGCTGAAACTCCTTTTTTTTTCTTCTATGATTTCATCAACTGTTTTTAAAACTTACCTTAATTCAAGAAGAAAAAAAACTTATTTTGTACTATTTTTTAAAATATTTTTTAGGTTTTTGCATAATTTTGTTCTTTGACAATTTTTTCCCCACGTGAAATATGTTCCCAATAATGTTGTATATTTTCAATGCACTCTAGTAAGTTCAAAACTGAACTTATTAATAGATTTAAATATGAGCAATAAACAATGAAGTTTTTAATTGCAGAACTGTATATGAATGCTTAATATATAATAATAAAATGCATTGTTGTGTTGAAAAAGGATCATAAATTTCTCAGTTTTTCAGCATAGCAAAAGCTAAGAACAAGACAAAAAAAAATGGATTTAAAACATTTTTGTTCCAATTTTCTTATTTCTATTTTAGTGAATCACTATACTTTTTTGACTACTAACACTTGTCGTCAAAAAATTAATCATAAATTGTATATTCAGTAGAAGATTAACTTTGCAAGGTAAACATTTAAAACCACATTGAATAAATTTCTGAAACCGAGCAAGAACAAATACTTTCTAAGAGGTTATGATTTCAAAAGCAGCCCAAATTTGATATTATTTTTGCTATTCTAATGCTCCTAATAAATTACGTTTTTTTTTTTTTGGTAAATAAGGAGCATTTAAGTGTGATAATTTGTGCTTCAAAGTAATTTGCATCGAAAAATTATATTAAAATTTTTAAATAATAATCTGATCCAGACATATTTTGCAATGTTCAAAAGGTAGGCTTAATGATAAGCGAAATGGTCTATAGAACTCAACTTTCTATAATGCACAAAACGTCACGATTTGCATTATAAAGATAAAAGATTTGCATTAAAAATACAAGACTTGCATTATAAAGATCTCAAGCTTGCAATTGATAAATTACCAGAGAGATTTTGAGTTATAATTTAATGAGAACAACGTGATTGAATTTTTTAATTGATTCAAAAAATTTGGTTTTTCTGTTATTTTGTGCGCTAGTGAGGAGCTTAAGTAATTTGAAGAGATGTACCCATAGAACTCCCTCTTTGGATACCTCTGGTCTGCTCTACACAGAGGATTTAGAAAAAAAATTCAGCTTACCCTAATCGGTATTGATTTATGATACTTTTAGAATACTTGAAAAGATTGTGTATTAAATCTAAATTTATTCAATGTACTATGTCCATTATTTAAAATAATACTCACTCTTTATGTACAATAAAAAACCATATTTGTCTTTATGTGAAAATACATATCGTGTACTCTATATATATGCATGATTTAAAAAGTATTAATCATTTAGTTTATGAATTTTGTAATGTTTTATAATTGTATCTGGAATAAAAATATTATTCATATATCAAACAACAATTTATAAAATTATTTACAAAATTTATTATTTACTTATAAGCTTGCTTTATTGTAATCATATTTGTTAATTATATTTAAATTTTATCATCTGTACTGATTGTTTGTTTTGATATGTTCTCTGAGCTTATATTTTTTTTTTAAATTTTAAGTCTGAATGGAAAATATATTTATGTATGTTTTGAGTGAACTTGTTTTTGTTATGAGTTTTTTATTCATTGAAACGTTTAACTAATCTTACTAAATTTTTTTCCTTTGCATTCATTTGTTAATTCTGTGTCTATAATTATGAGTGTTTTTATTAAGAAAAACGTTAGCTCTTATAAAATCTATTAATTTGTATAAAATTTTCATGTTCCAATTTAAGCCGTGAGCTGAATGTTTAAGATCAACATAGAAAGGATATTTGTTCTGACTACTAAGAGGAAATGTTAAAGTTTATTCATTTTCAGTGGGTACTATAATAAAAAATTTCTAATCATGTATGTTAAAGAACATTAACGAACAGAATGAGCCACAATGCCTTTGAGCTGTTTATATGAAAGCTGGAATTGAGCTGTTTATATGAAAGAAAAGGTTGCGGCTTCAAGCTCACTCATCTTTATATTTATGGCATGATTACCAGCTTTGTCTACGAAGTTAACTTAATAAAACAGTGCACCGTGCTGACCAGTTTGCGACCTTCTGCTCTTGGCCTTGTAATTCTGAAGCCTTATCCTCTATGAACCCCTGGTTTATAAAGGGCTGTTGCGGTAATGATTTGCTTTGATATAAGAATCTCACGATTCTAATTAGCGTTCTTCTGTAAGTTCGATGTACAGCTGTAAGCAAGCTGTCCCACAATTCTTCTGTCAGAAGTCTTAATGTCCTTTTTTTTGTTGGACATTTGTCCATCAAATGATTTACTATTAAATGTAGATTTACCAAGATTTACTATTTAAATATAGATTTCTTTTCATAAATGTACGTATAACTCGATCACAAATCTAATATTTGAAACAAAGAGCATTGCTCATTTCTGCCTTAATTGCTGGCGATGACTACCCACATTGGTTTCGCACCAGATGTACTTATTATTAACTGTGATCTACCTGTTGTACCATTACGTCATCATGGAAAATGATCACTTTTATAGCTGCACCTTTTTGTCATGCAATATCGATGTTTATTACTGGGAAGCTTGACTAAACACATGGAATGAGGAGGAATTTTAAATTAAAAATAAGTTTTTGAAATTTATTTTTTGCAACTAACTTGGAATTTATTTTTTAAACAGAACTTTTTTTAAAAAATGAAGCCATTTTATTTGTCATCGCACAATAATGTGATTAAAATAAGTACTAATTCTTTTGGATTATTATTTACTGAAATAATACAGCTTTCTTAGTACTTCTTTAACAACTTTTGAAATAATATGCAACTATTTTAATGTGAAGCACTATGATACATTATTTACAAATTAAAAAATGAAGTCTAAATTACGCTTGATCCATAAATGGTTTCAGCTCACGGCCAATTATTTTAGACACTCCTAAGATTTTGTATAAATACACAATAGTATACTTGTTTGTTTAGATAGCTTCTAGTATGTTGTTGTCTTTTTTTTACTGGCTTATGGTATGCGTGTCTCGTTTGTGCAAAGCACGGTAACTTACCCGTAATTTATGTCCCTGAGAGTTGGGTAAGTTTTAACTCTTAATGTAATTATTTCTGTGAGTATATACTATGTATAGATGTGAACTTTCTCGATTTTGGGGCCATTTTGATCAAGTCCTTGTAATCACCTGTAATATTACACTGTTAAAAACTGTAATCGCTTTTGTGTTGATTACTGGGTGAGTTCACACAATGTTGCCATTTATATTTGAAAAATTTTCCAAACATCAAAATTAATTTCTAAAATTTGTGTTATGACTAGTACATATATAACTTACGTAGAAAAAGAAATTAAATAAGTAAATTGTAAGTAAAATATTGTATAACTTAAAAATTCTAAATCAATAAAATAAATTTCAAATTCCTCTCAATGATGAAACTTTCAAAACCTACGAAGTCATAATGGTGTAACAAAAGAGGGCAAAACTAAGAACGGTTGTAAAATCATTTGCCTTTTTCTTTGTTCTACGGGAGAAGAAATCTACTTTTTGTTGCATTAACAAAGCGTAAGTGTTATATATAATTTTTTTGTCTACGTTTTCAATTCACGGAGGGGAAAAATCTCTCTTTTTTATATTAATTTTTGAACCCAATCCAGAAAACAAGGGAAATCCTGGATCAAGTGTTGGGAGAAATTTGCCTGCGTTTAGGACTTTTTAATGGAACTAACCCGCATTTGCGTTACATTGAGAGAAAGACCTTCCACGGTTAGCCTGACGGCAAGAGGACTCGAACCCGTGATCCGTCTACCACTGAGGATATTTACGTCAGCTCTGTGGTCAGTGCAAGCCATCGCTGGGATTCAAACCTCATGAGAAGGTGATATATATAATAGATGTTTCACCTTTAATGTACATGGAAAAATGGTTTTTTGAAAATCAAATTTTTCTGATTTAAAATGAGCTCGCCTGTATTAATTTTATAATTAATGATTTTTTACTATTTAATCATTTTTTTCATAATTAATTGTTTATTACAAGTGTGAAGCCCGCAATCGTTCATAACGTAAAATATATTGTGCGGCGTATTCAATGGTGGGGCCTTTCTGATGCCATTTTAGTTGAACTTTGCGGGTGCGGCGTATCTCTGCAAAACCGCTGTATGTAATCAAAAATTTAAAAAAAAAAATTTGCAAGTCTTTATTTTGAAAAAATTTTTTTCCAAAATTCCGATTAATTTAAATTCTAAACGCATTGTTTGCTACATGTATTTTACTACTTGGCACTTTAAATTATTGAACTATAGAAATAAAACGTATTTTTCAAAATTAAAAAAAAACTTAGCTCCATTTTCATACATCTTGTTTTAATTCTTGTTATAAACTTTTCAAACATATCAAATTCATAATTATTATGAAAAATATTAAAATTACAATGTTTATAACAAACTTCACTTAAGAAATCAGTGTTTACACTAAAATTCAAAATATAATGAATATTAATTGTAACTCAGAAATCTTCCTTCAAATTATTAAGTTGCGGTTTTTTTAAGCTTTCAACTTAAAGTGGCCATAACTTAAAGTAACATTTAGTGGAATCACCTTTGGAATTTTTTAAATTGAAAGAAAAATATGAAATCAGTATAATAACAATACTGTATAACTAGCAACCTATGATGTAACAGTTTTCTTTGTTGGTATTGTCAATTCCTTTGTGTAACAAAATCAGTTATTTTTGTATTTGAAAACATGTATGTATTTAAATAATGATTTTGTTTAAATATTAAGTAGCATTTATAAGGAAGAAAATATGGATTTTATTAATATTTTAATGAAATTAAGCTAGATTGGATAAAATAATTTAATCTAATTTTTTTTTAAAACATGTTTTCCAAACAGTTTAGAAGTAATAATTATTTTTAATTAGTGATGGAATTTATATTTAAGCGTTTTCTTGAAGTTTTGAACTGTATGGTTTGTTCAACACTTGATGCTGTTTGAAATAATAGATATTAAAACTGATTTTTTTTTCTTTTCTCGATATGCTTATTTTTCATAACAGGAAGGGGTATCCAAAATATGCTTTTGGGATTTTAGAACTGACACTTTTCATATCGCACACCATTTAAAAAAAAAATATTTGTTGAATTGTTTTTGGCTGTGATTTATTCGAATATAAAATCGATAAAGTTTTTAGTTATTGCTTTGTTTAAAAAAAAAATCACAAATGTTATATTTATTTGTGATTTAGTAGTGATTCTTTCTGAATTATGATTTAATTTGATGGATGCTAATGATACATTGAGTAATATAATAGGCACTTGATAACGTCAACCAGTTGACGTTACCCTACATAAATGTTATCATTACATTAACACAATGATATACTGGTGTCTATTTTGAAAAAGTCAATCTAACAACCACTATGATCAAAAGTGTTCAATCCGTTTTCTTTTTATATTTTATGGCAACCCAACTGCTACGTAGTTACATTTTATTGCTCATAGTTGTTAGAGCATCATAGCAATTGCGATAAATTTCATTATTCTTTTAAACTTAATTTAATATTTTTTTATGTATTAAAACAAAAGTAACTTCGCTTAAGGTGTAAATAAGGTTAATTTTGGTTTTAGATTGCATGATGTTTCCTGATGCTTTATTTATTTTTTGCTTAATGATATATATATATATATATATACANTATATATATATATAAAGAAATACTTAATTGAAAAATGGTTTTTGATCTATTTCCTTCTGTGAAAAATCGGTGTGCTCAATAACTTCACTCACGATGAAGGTTATAAATTGCCATTTAGTGATATCAATCATAATCTATTCAATTAGCTAACAATTTTATACAGTTATAATTTCTTTTATTACAACTATTCCCACCATCCCCTTCTTACATAGTTTTTAGTTTAATAATTATCTGGGTTAATAAACTGTGTAGGTTTTAATGAATCCATCCACCATACATGAATTCTAAAAATAAGCATTTAGGATCAAGCGTAATATATTGTATTAAGTTTATTGGTTTTAGAAGTGTATTGAAAAAAGTCTAAATTTTAGTATAAGGCAGTTTTCTGTATTATATTCTGTAGAATATTTTTTCCTTTTCAAAACCGTATACTCTATACAAAATTAATTCATTTTGTTACATGGGCAGTAAAACAAAACCGTCAATTATTTCGTGTATCTCTATGTGTTTTTTATTGCAGATTCAGTTTTGACCCAAGCAATACAATTTTTTAAATTTTCATTATCTTCAAAATGTGTAATTTTGATTCACTGTAAAAATTGCATTATACGAAATTATAATAAAGGTCTGTATAATTTCAAAACTATATGAAATGTGCTGAGTTTTTCTTTTTATTGGCAGTGTTTTTATTTCAAATAAATTGTATTGAAAATATTTGGTACACATAGCTCAGTTGTTCTACACAACTGAGCTATGCTGCCCTTTCTCTTGGTGAAAGATTGTTGAGAAAGGAGCACTTTTGGCCATACTACACATTCTTCCTCAAACTAGACTTACATTTCAACATTCTTTTCTTTTTGAGTACCGGAAGCTTGAAGAGATCTTTAAGGTCTCCAACTCCAGGCTTTGCATCTATAGGCAGCCTGTTTTTATAGGCCTTCTGAGATATGCCACCGCTAGATTTGACTTGGTACAGCCTGTCCGGAAATCGGACTTCCACCAGACTGAGTTGTATCCCATTGCTCTTGCCACTATGCACGAGAGATACCCTTGTCAGGAATGGCTGCCGGTTTTTCAACTGGTAGAGCTGGAGCTGGTGCTTATTCCAAATATTTCTGCCTTAGAGAACCTCTTGACACTTGGGCAGATAATTTTGATGGAGACATGTTTGCAATCCTTACAGCTATTAGTGAACCATCTGAACAAAACATTGTTATCTTCATCGATTCTCAGGCTGCGATTCAAACCATTTTTGAATGTAATTTATACCCCCCTGAACTTGAATCTGAGTGTAAACAACGCATCGACTCTTTTCTTTGTTCTGGAAGAGAGGTAGTCCTCCAGTGGATCTCTGGCCATTGTGGCATCTACGAAAATGAACGGGCTGACATGTTGGCTAGAGAGGCTTCAGCATTGCATCCACCTTCTCATCCAGTTCCTCTTAGAAATGCAAGGCGGCTTAAGAGCAAATTCAGACACAGGACAATATCTGCTCTTAGGGACTTAGCTGATGGAAAATCTTGGGCTAGATTTCTTGATGGCCAGCAGCGCTCTCATCTTTCCCTTCTTCCCAGGGCAGAGGGAGTTGCTTGTCTTAGAATTATTACTGGACATGACTACTTGCAGGCCCATCTATTTAAAATTACCCTGGTCAATTCACTTCTTTGTGTGCTCTGTAACACTTCGCCTATGACTGGGGAGCATCTATTTGATTGCCCCTCTCTTCTTGACATTCGTTCCTGTGACGACTTTCGTGCCCCCACATCTTATGGAGCTACTTCACTATGAACTNTATTTCAGCCTTAGAGAACCTCTTGACACTTGGGCAGATAATTTTGATGGAGACATGTTTGCAATCCTTACAGCTATTAGTGAACCATCTGAACAAAACATTGTTATCTTCATCGATTCTCAGGCTGCGATTCAAACCATTTTTGAATGTAATTTATACCCCCCTGAACTTGAATCTGAGTGTAAACAACGCATCGACTCTTTTCTTTGTTCTGGAAGAGAGGTAGTCCTCCAGTGGATCTCTGGCCATTGTGGCATCTACGAAAATGAACGGGCTGACATGTTGGCTAGAGAGGCTTCAGCATTGCATCCGCCTTCTCATCCAGTTCCTCTTAGAAATGCAAGGCGGCTTCTTAAGAGCAAATTCAGACACAGGACAATATCTGATGGAAAATCTTGGGCTGGCCTTCTTGATGGCCAGCAGCGCTCTCATCTTTCCCTCCTTCCCAGGGCAGAGGGAGTTGCTTGTCTCAGAATTATTACTGGACATGACTACTTGCAGGCCCGTCTATTTAAAATTACCCTGGTCAGTTCACCTCTTTGTGTGCTCTGTAACACTTCGCCTATGACTGGGGAGCATCTACTTGATTGCCCCTCTCTTCTTGACAATTCGTTCCTGTGACCACATCTCGTGGAGCTACTTCACTATGAACTTCAAGACGCCTTATGTTTGAGAAGACGATGGCGGGCGTAATTTTAGAAAAAAAAGTTGTTCCACTCTTGTGGAGTTTTTTTTTATTTTTAAAAAGAGGGAATTTAAAAGAAGCATATTGAATAACTTTTGATCATATGATCTGACTTTCGTGCACTAAGGCTTTTATGATTTGAGGTATGCTAATTGTTAAATGTTGTTTTCTCTTTAAGCCTGCCTTCGAACTAAAAGCTTGAACATGGAATGCGAATTTGAAGAAATGTATTAATGAAATTCAGAAATGAATCGTGTGATCGTACGACAATTGGTTCATTCAATAAAAAAATTTTTTTTTATAGGTTTCTATTTGATAATATGGTTATCTAATTTCATAAGAAACTAAATATATTTTTGCGATTTTAGAATTATAAATTATACTATTTATCTTAACTATAAACTTTAGTTGAAAGAAGTTAATTAATCAATAAAAGTTCAATAATATTTTTTTCAAAATATTATTAATAATAATAAGCTGCATTCTTTATCGGTGAATTCACTAAAATCTATAATTTACCAAATTTGTCTGCTCATAGAAACTCACTTTTACTCAGAGTAAAGCATCTTCAATAGTAGGCCACAGCTTTAAAGATATAGACTACATTCATTGAAAATGTTTGTTTCGATTTTGTAGTCGAAATTAAAATGATATTTCACTACGTATGCGGGGGGTTTCAACTTACGGAATTTTGCAAATTCTCTTATTTTCACTTGCGTAAGTTTGATATTTTTTCACGGGCGCATACGCTTTTCACGAGAACTGACGCTTGTGCAATTACTTTAAATCGCATGTACCGAAGTTAACGTAAATTTGCAAAATCTCCCTATTAAAAAAACAAAGAAAAAAAAATCGCAAGTTCTTATTAAATAATCATTTTTTTTTATTTTTCATCATTAAATAAAATAGCTATATTGTATAAACTCTGGCCAACGTCGTGTCTTCAGTCTGGGACCACTTATTTTAAAACACTAGATATGTATAGAGTCTTAAAAGGAGCATAAATTCCCAGCACTGCCTCAATTAATATTGTTTTACTAACACCAAAACTTTTTACATTTTTTTATATGAAATATTTTGACTATTTCTGCAGATTATTTTAAATTTTGCTAAATCGAATATTGAAAAAAATGATACATTTCTTCAAAAAAAAAAANTTCAAAAAAAAAAAAAAAAAAAAGTTCGATTTTGAGTTTCAAAAAAAATGATCCTCCTTGTGTAGGAAGGCCTACTTCAGGTTTAAAAGACCCCGTTGCCTGAGAATATCGAAAACCTTCTTCTGCTCAACCTACAGCTGCGTCCAGAATGCACCTAAACAATTTAAGAAATCGACGGTCAAGAAATAATGGTGGAATCGCTTTTGAACTCTCGGTCAAAGTTTTCAACCCGGGGGTTTTGGAACTGGGAGTTACGCGTTAGGTCAGAGTCAACCAGGGCTCGAAAAACCGCCCGTCCTCGGCGGTCAAAAATTCCACGCGGACAACAAATTTCTCGAATCCAGCTTCCGCGCGGACGGCCATTTTCACGTTAATGTTCGTGATACATGTTCAATTTTTGTTATCTTGCAAGAGTCTAGCGCCTCACTTCTAAAATGACCCTCTAATCTCGAAATACCGCAACATACTGCGCATGGTGGAATTGATGTTTTCTCTGTCTGGGAGTACTGCAGCNAAGGTGAGCAGGACTAGAGGAAGGGAACAGGAGTAAGGAGAAAAAAATCTTTTCCCCATTCAAAATAACCTGTCCCGCTACTGTTAGAGTTAAATGCTATGCATAAAGAGATTTTGCGTATCGTTTTTCTTACTTAAACCGCAACGTCTAATTTATTTTCTTCTCTCAATCAATTTGTAGGGAAATTTGAAGCACGAAAAGCGTCAACTCAAAACCGTAATCATGTCATCCAAAACCGTAATATTAGAATCTTCCGTGACATTATCATAACGCTTTACAGAGTTAAAATTTGATTTTATTTTTTAGTTACTACTAGTGATCTCGTTTTTTGTGTCAATCGTTTCGTAATATATTAAAAACAAAAAGTAAATACTGATGCACGTTAAATCCGTCGAGTCGAAAAGTCCTCCATGTTCCCATAACAAATCAATGCCTCTGGGGGTACTGAATTGGAGATTGATCTGATTCAGGTCAAAATTACGATCTATGGATGTATGAATGGGTCCGCCCTATAAACGGGCGTGACGTATAGGCGTGGAAAAAACAAACAAAAAAAAATCTGTGAAACTAACGTGATAGAAAGAACCAATAAGTATAATTTACATTGTCTGTAGTTCTGCTGAAGTGAAGACCCAGGAGTCCTGGGTAAAACTACTCGTATTCTGAGTTGCTCACCTCACTGTAGTTATCGATATACTGGTTCCTTGGTAGCGACCCCGAAGTGTCCTTATTGTTAAAAGTCATAAATTAGTTCAAATGCGTTTTTTTAAAAAATAAAAATATTGGTTGTTCTAAATTGAAAATGACTACTTAAATATAAAGGTGTCACTTTTTATAAAGAAACACTTCTCGTGTGACTTCAAAATATTGTAATTTTAATCCATCTATTTTAAATGAACTAACAAAAATGCTCATTACAAATTAAACTTATTTTTCTGTAGTAAATTTTTTATAACAATTTTTTTTCGAAATAATTTCAATTTATTTGTTAAACAAGAGTAAAATATTACACAAGTGTATTATTCATTTAAGCATATAATTTTTTGTTTTAATTTTTTCTACCCTTAAATATGATAATAAAAGTGTTAGCTAAATACAAATATTAAAAAAAAAATTGTCCCTAGGATATGCTTAAGCATTTAAAGAGTCATTAAAAATACATTTGAAACAAAAGCAGTTTAGCTGTTTCATTTTTCTTTGTTTTTACGAACCTTCAAAAGGAAAAAAAAAATTTTGACTACTTAATAAACTGTGCTTTCGCAAAAGACTGTCACGCATTCACGCATCGTGGAAAAGAATTTATCTTTTTTAAAATCCTTTTCTACTTTTTAAAATTCAATTGAAATCGCGTTCACACTCAACTAAATTCATTGCAGTCTAATCTTTCAATGGTTTTGTAATAAGACAGTTTCAGAAGAAGAAAAAAAATATTACTTTTCGAAAAAGCCGGGGAAAAAAATTAAAATAATAAAAATGGGAGAAATGTCTTCTCAATTCAACATAGAAGTTAAGAAAAATGGCGAACAATATTCTTTTATTTTCGAAAGTCTTTCTACTCCGGTGAGCTTTATATAAGAGAGATTTTCTTTTATCCACCAAAAAATTTCCCTTTTTCTTGAGGTGTTACTCAAGTCAGTAAGAAATAGAAGTGAGCAGAAATTTCAATTTAAAACACTTTTTTTTTTCTTTTCACTTTCTGTTTCAACCACCTTGACTATAGCCTGAAGCATGGAGTCAATTTTCGAAAGGAGTGGATTTGATGGTTGAAGCGAAAATTTAAGTCGAAGTCTGTCCTTTTCAGTTCCTTTTCTCTCCCGGTACTGAAGTTATACCTGCGGGTGTAAAAGAGCGTTTTTTTTGGGGGGGGGGNTTGGGGGGGGGGGGAGGCATTTAAAAAGTTGACCGTTTCGTGGTTGAGTTCGATTGAACCTAGATCGTCGCTCGAAAAAAAAATGTAGTAAAATTATATAAATTTTATTAGAGTGATTAGATTTCTGATCAAACTTTAGGCTTGCACACTCGTAGGTTATTGAAATATTTTGCCAACCTATGACTTGCCTCCCTTTGTTTAAAGGTATTGACTGACTATCTTACAAAAGAAACTTCCGCTTAGAACCTTACTGGAGTTAGAACGATATTTTTATTCAAAAATCAAAATCCTTATCCTTATATTTTTTTTCAAAAAAAAACAAACAAACAAACAACGGTATGTATTTGTGTTTGGTTTCGTAGCTTAAAATACATTTAGCACAAATTAATTTAGATATTTCAGATAAATCTTAAAATATCGTCAGCCCAGCTATTAGTTAACGTCAGATAAATCCATCTAACGATTAAGATTGAGTGCTAATGCATGAAAATCCGATTATTTGATAAAAAGAAAAATTTTCGTGTTAATCTGTTTTTTATTTTGCATTCTGTACATAAGGTTATTTTTTTATAATAAAAATATCGAACACGTTTTTTTAATTAAAATTTTTAGCTAATAATAGAGATTATCAAATTTTTTTACATTGTCTTACATTTTCTTTTTAAAAAAATATGCATTTGTGTTTGGTTTTGTAGCTTAAAATATCATCTGCACGCATTTCAGATAAATCTTAAAATATCGTCTGCACAAATTAATTTAGGTATTTCAGATAATCTTAAAATATCGTCTGCACATATTAATTTAGGTATTTCAGATAAATCTCGAAATATTATCAGCTCAAATATTAGTTATAAATCAGTCAGAAAAATCCGATTAAGATTGCATGTTCATGCGAAAATTCGATGCTTTGATAAAAAATATATTTTTCCTGTGTTCTATTTTTATTTTACATTCCGTACACAAGATTATTATTTAAAAAAAAAAATATGGAATACGTTTTTTTAAATCGAAATTTGGCAGATAATAATAGTTTGGTAGATAATAATATCAAACTTGTCTATCTCGTCTTTACAAACGTTTGCATTTAATGCCTTCCGGCAGAAAATGGGTTGAATAAAGTTAGATACCATTAATGCTTGTTAGCCAGAATAAATAGTTATTAGCCAACATTAGTGGTTGTTAATCAACATTAGTGGTTGTTAGGCAGCATAGGTGATTCATTTTAAAACTTATATAGAGATGAATTGATATTTCTCTCGTCGATGCCATGATTCTTCAGTAGTAAAAGGCACTGAACTGTCATTTCTTAATTTTATTTAAGAACTGAAGTTGAACAGCAGACCCAATTTTTGGTTTACAACTACCAATGTCAAACTCCGTAGCCTTGTAATTTTG